TGCATGGAGCCTGCTTCTCCCTCTGCCTGTGTCTCTGCCTCTCTCTCTCTCTCTCTCTCTCTCTCTGTCTATTATAAAAAAAAAAAAATACGGAGGGGATGATAGTAGCTGGGCAAGGGGAGAGGGATGGCTTTGTCTCCTCTAACCCCACTAGGGGCAAACACCCAATGTTACCTTACTCATTAGTAAGAGGTGAATTTTTTCCCTACTGCTTTCAAACTAAAGTGAATGAGAATAGGCGATTCAACATAATGAAGAAAAACAGGCTAGTAATACATGGCTTACTTCAAATAGAAATGCTTTCTGTAGTCATGAATGACTTCAACTGAGACATAAAATGGGAGAAAACACTACCTGCATATACAAGACTTTTTTTCTATCTATAATACCTACTATTTTTTTTTTTAAGATTTTACTTATTTGAAAAAGAGAGAGAGACAGCCAGAGAGAGCACCAGTGAGGAAGGGGGGTGACAAAGAAAGAGGGAGAAGCAGGCACCCCACTGAGCATGGAGCCCAATGCTGGGCTCAATCCCAGGACTGGAATCATGACCTGGGAGAAAGGTAGATGCTTAACCCTCTGAGCCACCCAGGCACCCCCAATAATACCTACTATTTCTTATTAATAAACATGATTTTAACTTGTTCGTCTCAATCATATGCAGAATAACCTTAAATTTTAAACCTCCATTATATTTCACTGAAAACACTCAAAAAAAAAATATAACACTCTCCAAGAATAACTTGGCAATCCATTTATAAAATAACAGAAGGTCCCATGGAAAAACAAAACGTTATTCTATCATATAGGAAATAAAATTATTCTGACCTATATGCCCAGCAACGAACTTCTCACTTAATACTATTTTCTTAGGTTTTATAATAAACATAATTCCCAAGTCATAAAATTTTCAGTTCTTTTTTTAAACGTATCCTAATGTAGGGAAGTCTGGGCGGCTCAGTGGCTGAGTATCTGCCTTCGGCTCAGGGCATGATCCTGGGGTCCCAGGATCTACAGTCCCACATCGGGCTCCCTGCATGGAGCCTGCCTCTCTCTCTGCCTATGTCGCTGCACCCCTTTCTCTCTCTGTGTCTCTCATGAATAAATAAAATCTTTAAAAAAAATTATTTTTTAAAAAGTATCCCAATGTTTACCAACTCTCCCAAGGTAGAGATTTTAATTCTGAGGCATTCCCTCATTTTGACCTCTTGAGAGGGAGGATTTCCTTTGAGACAAGTAAATGTAACATGATGAAGTGGATCCTTGTGCTTTAAAGACAAGGCAGGAAAAAAGGCAACAATTTTTAAGTTACCACTCTGTCACCTCAAAAACATTTCCTGTAGGCTCCCCTCTCTCTTTCCAAACTAAGTAATCCCTGTGTTTATCACTGTTCAGAAAAAAAAAAAAAAATCATATGACTTGTATAAAGCTCTCCGTATACTCCTTGGTTTTCTGGAACACTTTGGGTCAACGTTAATATCTTCTTTAAGAGGAGAGAAGCAGATAACTGCAAGAACAACTTCATATTCTCTAGTTCCCCTAATATCTGTTCCCCTAATATCTGTTTAGAATTCTGCCTGACATTCTCTCTTTTTGGATAGACAAGGGTCTACAACCAAACATTTGTATTTTCACTATCACTCTGCTTTTTTCAGAAAGGCATGAAACCACCACTTGGTGGAAATTCAATATAGACATCCAAAATTAAACAAGATTTTAAAAATTATGTTATCCTCTATTCTCTCTAATCCCAAACTAAAACTCATATTTTATAGTTATGCCCCTAGCTGAATCAGGAAGCAATACTTTCTTAGACTGCATCAACTTCTTGATTGTGTAAGACATGTAATTTATAAAATACAGGAATACTCTGCAGCCTCCTAAACACCCTCGTTGTAATTACTACCTTTACACATGTTTGAGCCAGCAGTCTATTTGACACCCGGATTCATCGTTGCTGAGAAATCAGAAAACATTCTGTTCGTTTTGAATTTTTATTTTCCTTCACCCTAAGGATCTCTGAAAGGAAGGGCAATAATACTGGAGAAGGAATATGCTTCTGGCCCAGGAGGAGAAAGACTTCTGAAAAACCAAGGGGGAATACCAGGCAGCCTGGCTTGAGTCACGTATCAACATCTCTAGCAACCAAATGTTTTTAAAAGGTGATTCCCAACCACTGTTTAAACTTCGACTCCATGTGCTTTCCACCCAAGACGTGTCAGAGAGTAAGAGCGTGTCAGAGAGTAAGAGCGTGTCAGAGAGTAGGAGCGTATCTTCAACAATATGTAAGCTCTGCGTTCCATTCAGTTAATCTATACTTAGAACCTGCATAAGCTTGGAAAGGTACGTCGCTGCTGAAGTGTTAAGAAGTGTTAAGAAATTCCTCAGAAGCAAACAACCTTCAGGCACACAAGGTCCAAATCAGTGCAGTTTTATAAAGTACGTTCTTAATTCTAGAGGACACACACTCTAGCAAAGGTGGTAATAGGCAAAACAGCTTTGATTTTGCTTTTAGCCTATTATTCAAAAAACTAAACCACGGGTAACAAAAGCACACCAGTAATCTCTTCCCCTCCACCCACATATACATACACAGACACAAAGAGAAGTGGATTGCAGTACTTCTCCTAGTCTCTCACCGCCACAGAGTTCTCATAAAAAGAACAATGAGAAAGAGAATATTCCAATGCCTTGAGGTGAGTTACAGTTGGCAAGAAAGGGGTTAAGTAGCACTTCTTTTCTGGAAACTTTCCAGTTCCCTAGCTCTGAATCCAATTAATCTCCACTACCCCTGCTACAGTGCTAAGGCTTTGTGTTTTGTTTTTTAAAACGATTCCGCAGGTTAAGAGTTAAAACCAACACCTCAGAAAGAAAAAGAGAACTTGGTTTGGCTCCACCCTCTGTAAAGCAAATACTAAGAACTGAGCCAAATCCACTGGGCATATACAGACTCCATGGACATTCCAAAACACAGGTGAAAATAAATTGAGTTACCTCACATATCTACTTTCAGCACCATGCACTTTGATTCCCCCCCCCCATTTCACTTGTGAAATACACAAGTGTTAAATAAAAACAAAAAATTCTATTTAAGGACTTGAAAAACACTTAAAAAAGTCACAGAGTTCACTATACATCAGCAGGAATAGCTGAAATTCAAGTTAGGAAGGTCAAAAAGTACCCATGGAAACAACAGCAAAATAAAAATAACAGATATATATACAGAAATAAAAGAGGAACACGGGCCCTAGAACTTAAATCTTAGAAGGAAAGCTCCCTAACTAGAGGGTCAATTCCTATCCTAAAGAAACATAAGGAAATGCTGCTTCAGTCACCACAGGGGGAGAGTCATCACTACCATTAACCTTACACTTCTGGAAAAAAAGATGTTCACCAGATAAAAAACAGGCAGTTACTGACAGCCCATAAGTCAATGGAAAGGACAGTCCAGAAGCACCTGCCTTGCTAGAAATAGGTAGGAAGAGATGAGTCACTATTTTAATCCAGCTTAGTACTTTTCACATCTCAGTCCTCTAAGTCCCAAAGCAACATTTTTCTTATTTCCATCATTTTATCATTTTTCTCCCCAAATTTGTGGAGTTGGGTCAGAATACTAAAGGTTGGGGATCAGAGAAAAGAGAAAGAGCAAAGAGTCAGAATTCATTTGGTTAGTAGAAAGAGATACTGGAGTAGGGGCATAATTACCTCGAAGAGAAGACTAAATTATAAATAACTACATGTACAACTAGAAAATGATTATTAAGACCCAAAACTAAAAAAAAAAAAAAAAAAAAAGACCCAAGACTCTTTCCCTCTCTTGGATGGTGCCCCATATCTTTCAAAGCTTTTACAGTAAAAAGCAAACAGCTCCCTGGAGAAAGGAGTAAAAAAGATTTAGATCAGGCAAAGGTAAGGAAACATGATAGTGTTACACGAATTATCAGTATTCCTTCAGACTCGGATTGGAAGTCACTGGCACCTGAAGAAAAGCTATACTCTTCTACAAGTCAGAAAGAAAAGAAGAAGAAAGAGAAGAAGAAGAAGAAGAAGAAAAAGAAGAAAAAGAAAAAGAATGTCAATAGCCTGTCACACAGGAGGTAGCAGAGGAGCTGAGACGGTTATCACGGGAAACATAAAAAGCAATTCAATTACTCAGAAACTTCTTGGACTTGCAGCCTAACTTCCTCCCTACCCGGGGAGGTTTAAATCAGTATCCTAGGTCAAGAGAGGCAACATCATGAGAAGTTCTAACCCGTGAAAAGTCGTAAGCAACAGGGCAATGAGGCAGGTTGTCTGGAGAGAGGAATACTAGGAAGCAAGTTAACGTCATGCCCAATGACCATAGGACTTAGGCAGGAACCCATTCCTGCAATCACAAGGACAAACGGGCAAGGGAGGGAAGGCAGGGCCCAAGTCAGGTAACATTCCAGAGGGGAAGGATTATCAGGTGACACCGGGCTGAGGGCCCAGAGCCCGGGCTAGGAGAGAGGAAAGTTAGCAGGTGAAAGGGATCAATCTTGAGAAGGAAGTGACCTTTAGAAGAAGCAAATAAGAGGATACCAAAAAAGGGGGGTGGGGGAAATAAGGGTAATAGGGAAAATGGACTCAGAAAAGCACGGAGGACAAGGTAGAGAAGGCGTGTGCGGGTAAGAGAGGAAGAAGAAAGGAAGTGGGGCTGAGAGGGAAAGGATGGGGCTAAGACCCGCCGGGCTATGGGGGCGGAGGGCAGAGCGTGCGGGCCAGGCGGGCGGCCCGGAGGTGGTGAAGGAAGCCCGAGGCTGCCGGAGCCAGAGCCGGGCGGGACTTCGGGGCTCCCCGAGATCCCGGAGGGGTAGGATGTCGGTCTGTGGGGCCCGGGACCTAGCAAACCCAGGAAGAGAGGCGCGGGGGCGGCTCCCTGGAGACGGGCGTGCAGCCCTGGGGCCAACTGTGGGGGTCTCTGCGGACCGGAGGGCGGTTACGGGGCCAGCCTGAGGGAACCGGGTGGGAGGGACACTCACAAATTTCTTGGATTTGCCGCCGTCGCCGCCCGCCGCAGGCAGCTCGTCCGGGCTCCGGCCTTTCTTCTTGTCCCGGGTCCCGCGGCCGGGACCCTGGCCTCCGCCAAGCGGCTCCATGTCCAGGTCCGCGCTGCCAGATGACCCCGCGCCTACCCCGCTCCCGCCGGGTAGCTCCCAACCCGCCGCCGCCGCCGCCGCCGCCGCCGCCGCAGCCCTGCAGCTCCTCAGCCCGCCGCCGCGCCCCGCCTCATTAGTATGCCGGGCTGCGCGCGCCTCATGAATATACAACGGCGACGCCTCGCTCCCGCCCTCCTGCCCCACTTCCGCCCGGACCCGCAGCTCCTACCAATGGGGGAAGGGAGGGGGTGGAGGGAAGGCGCGGAAGCAAGCTACCTGCCCGGCGGGCCTAACCATTCGGACCCACGCTGGGGGGTGGTGTGTGGGCGAGGCGGCTCTGAGGCCTCAACTGGGAATGGCGCCACCTGGCGGTCTGCGCGGCGCAGGTCTCCCCGCTCCTGTGCAGTGCCCACGTGGCTGTAAAGCCCAGACCCTCTCACACCCCGGACCAGGGTATTATCTGAACCAAAAGCCAAGAAAGAGTGTCATCTTGGACGAAAATCCAGTGCGAGTCTTTCAAGGATAATACAGTTTTTATGTGCATAATATCAGTGAAGCATATGAAAAAATTTGAAAGCCACAGCTGTCATTTATTGAAAGCTATGTGACAAGCAAGTGTTAGACTGGAGCTCAACTAACCCTGGAGTTACATTATCTAGTTTTGAATAGCAGGTCTGCCATTTTCTGGTTGTGTTTTTTAATCTGAAAAACCAGTTATTGCTAATATGGGACTACAGAGTAATAATAATTACCATTTACCATGCACTTGGTCTAAGCCCGGCACTAAGTAAAAAACTCTTACCTGTTTTTCCTCACTGAAGCCTCACATTGTCATGTGATCGATGACATGTGATCTCGCCATTTCACAGGGAGAAAATTTGGACTTTTGAGAGTTAACGCGACTTACCCAAGGACATAAAGTGACTTGCCCAAGGACATAAATGGCAAAAAATTTAAACCCGGGTAAGCCTGGAAGTCCTATGTTTGACCAGGATTTCCTACTGACAGAAACCAAACCTGAGTGAAAAGAGGTGTTCTCCAAGAGTATTTGCTTGACCAGCTCGATTTCTCCCACAGTAATTTCATCGATTCCCAGGTACATCTGTTCCTCCTGTGAAAAGTTATGGAGCACCCAGTAGACCCTCAAAGTATGGACTGAATTATCTTACTCACAGCTGGAAAAAAATTTCAAATATATGTTCCTGAAGGGTAGTTAGTGGCTCATCATCTCTGACACCCCAGTGCTCAGTCTAGGACCTGGGATATTATAGGGACTCTCCAGCGGTGGCTGGCTTATAAATCTGTCCTTCATCTCTTCTGTTCCACTTTGTAATTGCCTGGTGGAAAGTTGCAAAGAACTGTCCAGCCCAAATTTCAAACTCAAATTTGTCAAAAACAGTTCAAAAGCTACTTACTTTCTAAAATAGTGTACTGACAAACAGGTTCAAAGCATAGAAGGAGTGATCCATTTACTCTTCTTCTTTAGCATACTATTATCTACATCCACTGTAACATTTACCTCACTCCTTACTAGATTGTATAACTCCTCCATGGAAAGGTCTACTTTTGTGGCTACTATAGTATCTACCATCAATTGTCATGTAGACAGTTAAGATAATGAGCAACTACTTATGTCTGGCACTGTGCTAAGTACTTGACATGTTATATCCCAGTATATCTTCATCAACTAGCATCACACCATTTCAAACACCCAGGTTCCAAAACCTGAAGTCATCTTCTACTCCCCCTCTTAAGCCAGTAATCCCAGGTTTGTCTCTTAACCAGAATACTCTATTCACTCCTTATATATGAGTAACATAATCCATGTAGAAATGCGTACACAGGGCCTAACATAAGTGAATGAATGTTAACTATGATTTTTATTATATACAGCATCAGACCCCTTCCTTTTTCCTTCATATATAGTCAGCGAGCAAGAATTAATAATAATCCCAGGAAGGCAAAAGGTACAAAAAATACCAACTTGGTTTATTGGATAAAAACAGTGGTAAAATGGACATAAAGCCAAAAGTTAGAACAGGACATTTTCACATCCTACCCGGACTCAAAACCGTAATTTCCATCATCTGGGGTTAAGGTGTTAGGGAGCCAGAGCCCCCTAAAATCCCTCACTCTTCACCTTCACTGGAAACAAGGCCTGCAATAGGAGAACCCAGGAAAGGAGAAAATCAGAGACAATGTCAGCCCTGTCTATACCTTCATCCCTAAAAGTCTCTGGGTTGGAGGGAAACAGGGAAGGAGTAAGGGGGCCAAAATGGCTGGGACAGGCCTCTGGGGCCCATTGCCCAAGATGTCCTAGAGGAAGTCATCCTTGTCCCCATCCAGTCCCCGATAGTACCATCGTCAGGCCTTGCAAAGAAGAGGAAAGGGGATAGTTGGTTCAAAAACCAGATGTGGTCTCCAAACCGTTTTCTGGCACCAGTAAAAGCCCAGAAGGTGACCATCTAGGGCTGGAGGTGCCACACCTTTTCCCTCCTGCCCAAACAAGAAGTAAAAAGGAGTTCCTTGGGACACAGCAAGCCCAGCTGCTCTTAAATCTCCACGTCACTTTCCTTATCGTTGTCATGGTCTCCATCATAGAACTCGTTGGGTGCCTCTGGCCTGCAAAGCAAGGGAGAAGAATCAGGGTCCTATTCTCTAAGACACAGGTACCCTCTCTGGAGCCACTTCTTAGGCCCCTTCTGTCAAGGAAACATTCCTCTCCTGTTGGCAGATACTGGTGGCTATCCATCCCATTCATTCATGCAGTCAATAGATGGAGACATTACTCTGTGCTAGCCACCATCATAAGTCACAGCGGTAGAGAGTAAGTTGGCTAAAATTTCTGCCTATCCTCAAAAAACTTACCAGATAAACAAGACTGACAACAAAGTAAATAAATAAAGATAATTTCCCATGGTGGAAAGTGCTCTGACACAATGAAATAAAGGGATGTGACTGAGAGTGAAGAGAGGAAAATGTAAATTGCAGGCAGAATTATTAGAGACAGCTGTTCTAGGAAGGTAAGACTTCAAGTCTGAGAAGGGGCTGGCCAGGCAGAGATCTTAGGAAGCCCATTCCAAGCTACAAGGAAACCAAGTACAGAGTTATCAGGCAGAGGGAGACCGATGTATTCGAGGAAGAGCACCAAGGGAGCAGTGTGCAGGGAAGGGAGTTGTTACAGATAAGACCGTGGACGTAAGTAAGCACCTGCACGTCTTTAAAAGCCATGCTCAGAGAATCGGGTTTTGTTCTAAGAGCAGTGGAAAGAAGAGTTGTAAGCCGGGGAGTGAGTGGAGGGATGTGAAAGCAGCACAGGGACTGGTAAGTACTCGATACTGTTTTCTTTCTTTTTGGGAAACTCTTCTTTGGCAGAACACGAATAACTGAAAACTGAATTACCTCGACCCCAGGTAATAACTGAGAAAGACAGGAGAAAGTCAACAAAGAAAAGTTGGGGAACAAAGTTAGGAAAGGCCCTGCCTGGTAAGCAATGTCTCAGTTACCTCTGAGTGCATCAGGCGCGCAGGTGTGGAGTCACAGACTCAGGTTTAACTCTCAGCCCTGATATTTAACTAGCCGTGGGACCTGTGGCACGTTACTTAACCTGTCTGAGCCTTAGATTCCTCCTCTTGTAATTTAAGGCTAACAGCCACCTCTCAGGGGTGTCTGATGATACCAGAATGATGACATGATGGCATGTCTTAATATAAAGCATTTAGTATTGAGTTTGGTGCTTAGCAAACCCACAAAGTCAGTAACTCCTATTATTAGTACTCTGCAAGTGATATGCAAGCTGGAGCTATAGGCGTCAAAGAACAGGAACTTGGTGGGTGGTCTGACAGTGAGGGAGGGCTGAGGGAGGGCTTAGGACAGGAAGAGGCCTGAGGCTTCTGCTGGCTGTTGAGAGGGAGTAGTATTATACAGACACTAGGCCCAGATACCAGCCTAGAACCAGAGACAAAAAAGCCTAACTTTGCCTAAAAGAGTAACTTAAAACAAGTTTTTAAGAAAATCAATTTCTAGAAGTCAAGCTTCAGAGACCTGGAAAAGTTGACAAGGAGGTGATAACGTTAAAAAGGAATCCTTAGGCCAGATATTCATATACTTCATCAACCAGGAGTGGGAGTAAGGGGGTGTTCATGGAGAAGAGGAGTGGACTGGTCCCAAAAGTCCAAGTCTGTAAAGCCCAGGTCTAAAGGAGCGATGTAGAATCTCTAAGACAAAGAAGCAGATTCTGGAAGGGACTGAGAAGGCCATCAGACTGCAGCAGAGCCAGCTCAAACCTCTAACACTGCGTGGGAGGTACAAGTGTCCAGCTGTGGTTAGCCCTCAGTCATATAAGGATATCTGTTCTCCATTAAGTGCATCTGTTTCTCCACTTCTGGGTTCTGCTGTCTTTTCCCTTCATTTTTCAGAAAAGCCAATTCTGGGATGAAAAAAACACAACTCTATCCTAATCTCTTTTTTCCCCTTATTCAATGCATCTGTAAATATTTTAGTATGTATCTCAGAAAGATAAAAATGTAAAAAAATAAAAATAAAAAATAGCCATAGTGTAATTGTTACATCTGAAAAAATGAACAAAGGAAACAAACCAAAGGGCCTTAGAGAGCAGTATACAACCAGTGACCTGTATAGCTCTGAACCTGGAAGGAGCAAATAAAATGCTATAAGGATTATAAACTATTTTTTGGAAGATTTTTTGGAAGGCAATTTGGTAGCAGATACAAAAAATTTTAGTGCACACAATCTTTGACCTAAGCAGCAACAATTCTGGGAATCTAACTTACTCCAACGAGTATGCAAAGATACACACACACACACACACACACACACGCATGCATGCAAGGGGTTCAGTGGCACATTCTTTGTAATGGTGAAAGAATGGGAAATATTATAAATGCCATCAATGGTACTTGGTTAAAATTATGCTATATCCACACAATGCATATAATGGAATATTATACAGCAGATAAAATAATGAAGCAGATCTATATAATTACATGGAAAGATATACTGTTTACCAAAAAAAAAAGTTGTAAATTGTAGAGCAACCTGTACAAAA